GGACTCCGGCGGGAACCCCTGATCCAACATGGGCTACCAACCAACCAACCCTACATGTGTGAACCGCGAACTGTTTGAGTCGTAATTCTCTGGACCGTTTATTAATAATCTCTCCCTACCCCCCTCCTGTCCAGTGCCAAAATATTGCTTGGACAGAATAACTAGTCGTGCGAGGAGCGCATAGTTGAGCACTGTTTCTACTAAAAGTATCGGTCAGGCAAATAGCTAGCTCGCTATCACACCAACATCAGTAGGATCGCGGTCATTAGCGATTTCCATTCGGGCGACCAAGCAATCGTTGTACAGGTTGCAATCATTTGCGATGGATGCGACAACTGCCGGTTTTCATAGGTATGTGGCTACGTAGAGACTGCAACCATCCATTTAGTCGAGTCTAAGTTTGAAAGGTCAGAATGATAATACCAAATTTTGGTAAGTAACCTTAATTTCTGTCCCTTCTATGGCTTCCTTGCCTATAAATATCTCCGTATTAACAAATGTTTTTCATTTTTAGTGTTGAGTTTATATGCCAGCTCATGCAGTCTTGGAAACATTGTCCTGCTAAATGTTTCGGATATTAATTGTAGGAATTGCTGCTGCACTTGGCAATGTTTGCACGTTCACATCCGGCTCTACTAGCCAATGTGCTGCGCCTTCGCGTTGGTCTCATTATCCAGCTGATGGGTGCGGAGTTGGCCCGTTCTAGGCAGAGCTCTGTCGAAGACGCCCTTTTTGCGCTCTTCTCGATGAGCCCCTTCGAAGCTAATTGCCTTTTATCCAACCTCCTCAGTGGCAACGAGATTCGAACATTCAAACTCGGTAAGCGAGGCTTGCTCACCAACCCCTCTGAGTAACTGTCACTCTTTTTGTGTAGCTGCCTTTAATTACATTTGATAGTTTACTGATAACATTTAAGTACGCAATTGTGTTTATTATACACTTCGACTACTGGCAAAAGCAATTGTAGCGATACACAACCGGTTGCTACCGGAGGACAAGTTAACCCGCTATTTGGATCAAACTTTCTGATTGCAGTATTTCGCGTAGGATTCTCTTCTTTATAATCCTCAG